AGAGAGGGAGGGAGGGAGGGAAAGGTATTTTAGGGTAAGATATACCTGAATTTGCTTGCCAGCCCTCAAACTAGTTAAACAACTGTATTCCCATATGAAATACACATAGAGAATGCCAAGCATGACAGAACATGCATATAATTCCAGACTTTGGGAGGCAGAGGCTGACTGACCTCTATGAGTTCGAGGTCAGCCTGGCCAACATAGTGAGTTCTAGGCAAACCAGAAATACACAGTGAGAATCCCCCAGCTAAAAATACACACAGAGATAGATAGACAGATAGATAGATGATACATAGATGATAGATATAGATAGATAGATGATGGATAGATAGATAGATAGATAGATAGATAGATAGATAGATAGATAGATAGGTAAATTGATTGCTAGGACTGCTCTCCTCTACCAAACTCTTAAGATGACTATATCTTATTTTCTTTATAGCCTTAGTGCTTACCATTATGCTAAAAATTCACAATAGGTCCTCTTCTATTCTCTGAATAACATGGATTTAACCAAGTGGCAAGTGGCTATAGGGCAAATCTGACATAAGCACACACAGATCACATAAAAACAGGCACAGTTTATACAATATTTCCTCCTCATTAGGTATATTCAATAATAATTTTTAAAAAACTATGATTGATCAAATTAATATAGATGCAAGGAACAGACATATCTAATTGAATATGTAAGTGCTATATATAAATTCTAAAGGAGAAAAGAAAAAAGGAAGCAAGAGGCAAACTAAATTATCCAGGCATAGCAACTTGTAAATGGCAAAACTGAGATTTCATCCTAGCCCTTCAAAACAAAACCCATTGCTTATTCTTCTTACATTTGGGATATGAAAATGTCTGCTTAATAAAAAGGGAAATTATCTTTTCTTCATTTATTTAAAAAGAAAAAAAAATGCCCTTCCAGCATTTTCACTGCAAAGGCAACAAAGATTTGAAAAAATTTTAAATTAACAATGAATTGTGTGGCAATGCCAGCCACAAGGATGAAATTAACATCAGTTCTGAGTTAGCTGTATGAGTTTCATTGTGGAAATTCCAAGTTTTTAAATTTTTATTTATTTTTATTTTGTATGTATGAGTGTTTTGACTGCATGAGTGCCTAGGGCCCACAGAGGCCAGAAGAGGACATTAAATGTCCTGGAAGTGGTTAAGGATGGGTGTTAGCCACCGTGTGGGTGCTGGAAATTGAACAAATGTGGTCCTCTGGAGGAGCAATAAGTGTTTTTAACCACTGAGCCATCCCTCCAGCCCCAATTCCAAGTGTTTTATAGAATTTTTTTAATTTTAAAAAATTATTCTTTATTCAGATACACAAAATGCTTGAAATAACACTGTAGACAAGATATTTCCAAAAATGTAAGCCTGCATATCTTTTCTGTACACAGCTTAAAATAAAAAATGTATAGCAGAGGATTTTTCCTACTACTTGTGGATTCTGCTTTAAAACTATTTTTCTTAATATTTATTTTACTCTATTTTGTTACTTTCTTTGGGTGAGGCATCTGGTTACAGGTTATCTTTTAAAAAATAAAGACATTCCTGATGTCACTCCCTTTGGGTCATAGACATATTACAGCAAGTCACAAGACAAACCCACTCAAGTGTCAAGCTTTGGTCTTTCAGCTAAATCACTTGGAACCATTCCTAAATAACAGTATGCAGGAATTACAGACTCTATAAATCAAACGATTAACAGGTATTCATTGACTTGTATGTGTTAAGAAATGTGGATAATTCTAGACTATTACTGATGGTTAACTTATATGAGCATCCCTAAGTGGTCTATGTATAGGTCCCTTTAGTCACTGATAAACAAACTAGAGACTTCTATCTGTTTCGCTTTTTTACTTCTTGTGGGTTCCCAAATAGCCAACTTTGGAAAGTGTTTTCAATCCAAACCTCCAAATGAACTATAGGTTGATCTAACAAGAAACATGAATCTACTCACTGGCCTGCCCATATGGATCTCCACAGATAGCCAATGCTCTTCAGAGACCATGCTTTCTATTGCTGTTGAACTGAAATATATAGACAGAAATATAGAGATGGAAAAATGTATGTTATTGCCCACATTAGCCAAGTTTCACATTGTGGGGCAAGATGCTGTAACAGTTAAAAAGAGTCTGGAATGGGAATGTCTGAGTTCTGTCCTACTCTACCACATGCCACTACAAGACCTTTAGTAAACCATCTAATTCCTCTGTGCCTGAGTTGCACCAATATAAGATGTGGAAATAAGGACACGCCTAATAGGATGGCATGACAATGAACTGAGATTTAAGACATTCAAGACACTAAAAATAATGTTTGTTTCCCTTTTCCTGAAAATCTCTTATGCTAAACAGCATTGCTAAAATCCCAGCTGTTCTATAAACCTCTAAAGCCAGTCAGGGAGGTTTCAGCAAAGGTAAGTTCTCCAATACTGAATGTTACCACATAGTGAGCCAGAGTGACACTGCCTAACACAGGCATTTGGACAGAGGAAGGAAGGAAAGGGAATAAAAAAGACTGGTTAACCACAGTTCTTTCCACAATTAACTAAAACAACTAGCCCTCTGTGCAGACCCTACAGGAGGGGCTCCCTAACTTTCTTCGAATGAAAGACTTTATTTTAATTTTTCATCAACTCTATAAGTTGGCAAAGACAGGGAAAGCCAAACCCTAAAATAACTTGGTGGGGTCTGTGGGGGTAGCATCTCTGCTTAGCTATGTTTTATTTCCAACCTAAAAGACATAATAATCACTACAGTCTGAAAACTCTCCCATAATGAATTAAGTTATCTTTGATAATTCCTGCTCTAGAAAATGTTAAACAGTGACTTTAGAAGAGACCATGTTCAGAGGAATGATAGGAAAACCTAACACCTACTTAAAACCAATGACTTTTGCATGTATGCTGAATTTAATCCTTCAAGCAACCCACTAGTACTTCTGTAGTACTGGTAATGTGATATGCTAATTCTTGCCAAATATATTTCATAAATATCTCTTGCATTTAATATGAATAGGTTAATCGGAAAGAAGCGTCTGATGTAACTATCTCTAAAACACAATGGTTTTTCCTCATAACAGAAGCACCAAATTACTAAATATGCAAGCGCTCCTTTCACATTGTCCATAATCTTGTGTTTCTGGGCAATGAACTCTAAACAAATGTAACATATGTCATTTGGGTTGGAAGTACTTAAAACTAGTAGATAAACTTTTAGATGCTTTTTTCCTTTGCCTTGGTGAAGAATGATATGTAGCTGATAAAGACATACCTGTACCATGTCATCCTGGATCCCTGTATGCCTATGTGGAATATAGCTATTCTCATCGAAATAAATAATACAATGCATGTCAAAAATGATGAAACAAGGCTAGAGAGATGGCTCAGCAGTTAGGACCACTGGCTGCTCTTGCAGAGGAGCTGGGTTCGATTTCAGTACCCACATGGCAGCTAACAACTGTCCATAACTTCAATTACAGGGGATATGATGCCTCTTCTGACCTCCTCGGGCATTGAACAACATGGATGTACTTACACACATGCAGGCAATACATTCATACATATAAAAGAAAACTAATAAACAAAATATAAAAAACTGATACAGCAAGAATCCACTGGAATTTTAAAATCCATTTGTTACTGCAGCAGAGTCTGTCCCATACCAACTAATACAATCCTCAATTTCTGTTGTCAAGCAGATATTGTTGACAGAGCTATCTCAGTGATTCTCAGAAGAAGGAAACACCTAGGCTGAATTATCAGGAAAGAGAAAACAAGGCATGTTCACTTATGGAAAACTAAAATTAAGTAAAACTAAATCAACTTTGACTTGGAATAGATCAATGGTATTCAACTTGCACTGATGGAATGAACCCTCTAAGTGCCTCAGAAGCCACTGGTGAGTTAAGAACATAAACTTATAAAAGGGCCGTAACTCCAATCCTGAGCCAAAAAGCTTCACTTTCTCTTTCATTTTACTTTGGGCTTCCACAGACTATTTTGTTAAAAATATCATTTTTTACCAAAGGTTGTAGACCATTAATAAATGATCAGAATATTCATGAAGAAGAAAAAAAACAGATAAAGATAAAACAAAAATTTCTAGAAAATCGGAACGATTACATTAGATTAATAAAAGATTAAGACCAAATATAATTGTAATCTACTGTCTCAAATTAACATCCATTTGCTTCCAACAAAAGACCATTTTACTCTTAACTCATCTCCAGCTACTTTCAGAAATGAGTAAATTGAGTCCTTTTTCTCTCCAGTAATCATTTTAAAGCTTCCACCCATCTGCACTCGTGACTCTTTTCTCTGTTGCTACAATTAATGACTTTCTCCACAATCTGGACCAGCCAATGCTGCTGGAAGCTTTTACTGCACTGTAGCCTAGAAGCTGAGGCTGTCTCCTGAAAACCAGCGATTTGCCAATGTACAGACCCATAAGGACATTATCACCTTTCAAATGATAAGGTGACAATTTTTCTCTTTGGATACAAAGGAACTACATATATCCTGCCAGAAGGAGCTTGGTGCTTCAGATCTTGCTTTGTTTGTTACTCTAGCCAAGTAAGTTAGCATCATCTCTGAATTTTCTTTCCTTCTCTTGAAAAATAAAATTATAGAAAGGAAATAGGAAAGTACGAGGAAAAAGTAGTTATATTTGCCCATAATGTAGCTATAAGAATCAAAGTCATAGATGTAAACAGTTCCGTAAGTTCCATAAAAATATGAGTTGAAGGTATTTGTATGTAGGTCTAGAATCTAAAATGAGACTCTGTTAGGCTACTAACACCCAGTTTCTGGAATGCAAAACAAAGCTTGTAGCTGTTTTCTGCAGCAGGAAACTTGGGCGACATCAAGTGCACAATGGGGCTTTCAGACAACCTTTAAGCAAACAGACTAGGACTGAGAAACAGTGTTTCTGCTTTCACTGGGCAAAAATATAAATCAAAGAGGTGGGGGGTAGGACTTGGAAAGTCACTCTTTAATCATAAGTTGTTTCCTCTATAGTTCAGTTTAGAGTGCCCTAAATTTATCTATCTGCATAGAGGTTGAAAAATTGTCATAAATGAACCCGATAAGCTTTCTAATGTCCCATTTCCCAAAAACTGGAGGAAATAATGAAAATGGAGGACAGACTATTATCCTTAATATTCAAAGTCCAAACTAAAATTGGCTTCCTTAGACTTTCTGGTTGAACCTGTAGTTCAGGAAGGCCAGAGGATTTCATACACACAAACATGCACACGCACACACACACACACACACACACACACACAACATACATGCACAATTAAACCATACATAGCAATACACCACACGTGTATGCATGTATATATACCACACACATGCATGCATGTACACATATTATACATACCACAAATATGCGTATATACATGCACATACCACAATACATATGCATGAATATACACGCCCATATCATACAAAAACATGCATGTATACACCACATATACCACACACCACACATGTGTGACCACACACATCATGCCATATACACTACACACATGTATGTATGCATGTGCATACAGCACATAGCACACATACTACACATACCACATACTGCACACATGCATGCATAACTATACATACCATACACCAAACATGCACATATGTGTGTACCCACAGAGAGCACATACCACATAAAACACACACCACAAACACACACCACACACCACATAGCACAAACACCACACACACCACATACACATACCTGACCATAACCAGACACAGACACATACACACATGCATGTACATGCACCACACACCATATGCCACATTCTGCATACACATATACCACACACAGCACATACAGCACACACACCACACACAAATGCATATATATCACACATACAACACACATAAATGCCACATACACACTCATGCACACACAACCTCCCACGGATTTCATACACACAAACATGCACACGCACACACACACACACACACACACACACACGTACATGTGTCCCAAGCACATTTTGATCCATTATTATTTAATCTTTCTTTTTAATTTTTGATCAACATACTATTGCATTAAAATTTGCCATTATCTAATTTTTCCAACTTGGGCAAATATTAAATATACTCTTCGTAACTCAAGAAATGAGTTTCTCTAAGCCTAGGGCTCAGGCAGCTAACGCCTAGAGAAGCAAATCCCTGAGTCTGAGACCACATGAAAATCCCCAAATAGAGTCCTTTCCAGGCAGCACTTGATCTTTCACTCTGCATAAAAGAATGCCATTGAAACGTTTGACCCATGGACATCAGTCATGGATTCTCCTTAGCTGAAGAGTATCCTTGTTTTAACCTCTTTTTCAGGCATCCCACGGTCTCACACAATCCATTCAGTCCTTTCCTGTCCCTCAGTCTCTCATTTAGCAGCTCTGACTCACTTACCCAGGGGAATTTTTTCCAGCAGGTAGAGATAGCTCTGAAAAAAGTCATTGCAAATGGCCTTGTGAAGAATAAAAGACATGCTATGTCGACAGAGTTCATCATCGGTCTTCTGCCAGCGGGATCTAAAGGCAAAATGGGCTCCCAGGTGGGCCATGGGGAAGGGGGATAATATTTATTCCTGCAGAGAAAGGAAGCTTGTCTGGCTGTTTCTTTGAATTAGCTTTCTCTTTCTCAAAGAACTTGAGACTGTCATTTTAAACCAGCCCTGGGTCCATCTATATCAGGACAGGCTGTCCTGGGGTGTTGGGGGAAGGGCAAACATGGGGAGGTCAGGCCCTTGGCACGTCTACCCATAGTCTAATTGCTTGTGCGACACCACTCCAAGCCAGCAGGTGCCAAAAGTAAAGATGGAAACAGGCTGAGTGAGATCCTGCTTCATCCAGGGAAAAGCACGTTTCCCTTCTTAAGCTACTGCTTCAAACAGGCTCAAGCACTGCCTACTAACACCCTGAATACTTGCTATAATTTGATTCTGAAATTGGAATAGCCTAATTTCCATTTCAAAGAGCTGTGAATATTTTGCAGGAGATCCTATTCCCTGATTTCCATCACTCCTGGAATACTGAATCCTCAAATTACAAGGACCCTTCAAAGTCATCCTAGTCACTCTCATTCCTTTCATCAGTACAAATGTTCCCAAATCGTTTCATAGAGATGGATATGTGTTTCTCATATTTAAGGATCTCCAAGAGGTAATTATTTGAAAGCCTGTTTTGATATTAAATACCCTTCTCTATCAGCAGACTCCTCCATTAGCTTCTTCTAAACTGCATCTATTCATGAAAGCCTTTTGATTCCTTCCTGCCTATTGTGAATATGATTTTCCTCCTCATTATGATTGTGCTCTGTGCTGTCTTCTGATTGTCTCTCAGCTCCATTCACTTCTCTTTCCATGATACTGTATTCCAGAGACTGAGCTATGTCGACTATATCAGCAGATTCCATTGCCCTCTGCTTAAGCCAATAGATAGTGCCAATGAAGATTAAGAAATAAGGCAAGGTCATTCAACCAGCAACTGTCCTATGTAGATACCATAAGATAACTGTATGTTTTAACAAAAAGTAGCCTCAGAGGCTCGAGAGATGGCTCAGCAGTTAAGAGCACTGGCTGCTCTCACAAAGGACTAGGGGTCAGTTCCCAGCACCCATATGTCAACTAACACTATTCATAACTCCAGTTCCAGAGGATCCAATGCCCTCTTCTGGCCTCCATAGGCACTGCACACAGGTGAACTCACTTAACATGCAGGCAATGCACTCATACGCATAAAATAAAAAATAATTTTAAAAAGTGATAGCCTCCTACTTTAGATGTTTTTTCATATGAATATCTTCTTCTGGTTCTGATCATTTCTCCTTCACCTTACTGCTTGAGATCTAGGGCCAATGATGTGCCTATTCTTTGTAATTTCCTTACACTTGCTTATATCTTTACAAAGAGCCCCTTGCAAAGTCAGCTCAGAGCCCAGTTTGTGTCTCACATCTTTTCTCTGCAGGGACCATGACTACTATTTCATTCTTCAAATGTTTCTAAGTGGAAAATATATATGAACTCCATGTACTATTGACCCTACATCAGGTATATCCACTAACCTCAAACATAGGACACATGGTAAGTAGCTTCTGAGATTTTTCCTATCTTAGTCTCCTCAAGATGCTATAAAATTACAGCTGAGTGACTGGCTTCAAAAATAAACATTTATTTCTCACAGTTCTTGGGAAATTCGAGATCAAGGTGTTGGCAGATTGTGTATCTATGGAGAGTCTTGCTCTTGATTTCTAGATGGTCCTCTTTGCATTGTGTGCTCATACGCCAGAGAGCAGGGAGTGTGATCACGCCTTTGTGTCTCTTCTAAAAAGGGCACTATCTCATTCATTTCTTTCTTCTTGAAGTGGCACTAATCTCATCCAGAAGAACCTTACCTTCCCAAGGCATCATCTCTAAACCTTATCACCTTGGGGTTTGGGAATTCAGTGTAAGAATTTTGAGGGGACAGAAACACATTTAGTCCATAATTTCATTCTCTACCTGTTATTCATGCCTTTGTGTCATTCTTTCTCCTTGAGTATAGGTTGGATCTACTGGCTTAACTCTAAAGAACAAAATGATATATTCCAGAAGTTGTGGGATGGCACTTTTAAGATGAGGTCATAGAAAAACTGTCTTGGGTATCTGGTTTCCGTCTCTTAATTATTTTCTCTGAAGAAAGCTGACCTGTGGAGAAGACCACATGTCAAGGAAAGAAAGTCCTCAAGCAGCCCAGGAGGAACAGAATTCACAAGTGAGCTTAGAAAGAAAGCATTTCCTAATCAAAAGTTTGACTGTAACCAGCTGAGAGACCCCCTGAGCCAGTTAAGCCACTCCAAGTGTATTAATCCACAGAAATGTATTTATACTTTTAAGGAGCAGAACTTTGGGATAATGTGTTACAATATAGTGGAGAATAACTAATTTTCCCATCATCCATGGAATTTTTTCAGATGTGAAATCTAACCATAACCTGAAGTTTACTTTGTGTATTAATTTTGTTCTTGAAAAGGAAATAAGGATTTGTTTGTTTGATTATAGTATATGTTCTCTATTTGTCCTGTGTTTGAATCTACATTTTCATTTTTCATTGTTCAGAGAAGAAGGAACAGTCATTAAATTTGATTCCTGGTTTTCATTCCTGGCTTTAGGACTTGCCTAGATTGAAATTTGTTACCAAATTTTTCTTTGCCACAGTTTGCAGTTTACGGGTAGGCACCTCCCTTAGGCCTGGCCAATTAATAGATAGTGTTCCTTTGACTCTAGCATTCATTAAGATGTAGGTACGTTTTCTAAGTCTGTCATTGTTCATGCCAGTTTGGGGTTTCTATGCTAGGAAGTAGAATCTTGTCTAGTGAAAATACAACACTGAATCATTTTTATTCAGTAAATCTCATGAGGATGCAAACATTTCCAACAATTTGACACTGGGAAGAAATTTCTGTATTAGTTTGGTTTGTATTGCTATGATAAAACACTGACCAAAAAGTAACTTGGGAGGAAAGGATTTATTTCACCTTACAGCTTATAATCCATCACAGAGGGAAGCCAAGGCAAGAGCTCAAGACAGGAACTTGGAGGCATGAAGTGAAGCAAAAACCATGGAGAAACACTGCTTACTGACTTGCTCCTCTATCCTGTGCTCAGCCTGCTTTCTTATGAAATCCAGGACCAACTGCTCAGGAGTGCCACCACCCACAATGAGCTAGGTAGAATCATATCACTCAGCAATGAAGAAAATGCCTCATAGACATGCCCAGAGGCCAATTCAATAGAGAAAATTCCTCAAATGAGGTTCCTTCTTCCCAGGTGTCACGTTGATAACTGAAGTTATTCAGCACAACTGTCATCTACAAAATTCACACTTGAGAACTTCAGAATCAAGTTACAGAAAGAAAATCACACACACACATACACACACACACACACAGAGAAAAAAACTCATAATGTTTTAAGCAAGTTTACAATTTAGTATTGGGCTGAATTCATAACTATCCTCAGCTATGTGTGGGCCACAGCCTGGACACATTTGGTAGATGACATTAAACCAGAACAGAGAAACTTTAAGAAGGATTATTTTGTACAAAAAAAAGGGGGGGAATGTTGTTTAAATATCCAAATTTTAAAACTACGTGTGTCTGTCTGTCTGTCTGTCTGTGTGCCTGTATGTCTATGTGTGGGTCTGTGTGTAGGTATGTATACATGTGAGTGCAAGTGCCTGCAGATCCCAGAAGAAGATGTCAGACTCCCCCTGATCTGGAATTATAGGTGACTGTGAGCTACCCAATGTAGGTGCTGGAAAATGAACCTGGGTCCTCTGCAAGAACAGTACATGTTCTTAGCCACTGAGACATCTCTCTAGCCCCAAGGAAGACTATTTACTGGAATCAAATATGACTGGGTTAAAAATTCATATCACCTTTTTCCATATGAAGTAATCGTGACAAGTTAATTTTAGTCTCTCTGAATCTCACCCTCTTCTGTAACACAGACATAATAACAATAGTACATGCATATATGTGAATATTTAATGAACAGTCAATTTAAAACACAATAGTGCTTAGCACACAATGTATATTCAATAACTACTAACTATAATTGTTAGACTCATTGGAAGAAAGCCAATAATGAGTTATAGGTCTTTAGACTGCTTTGTCTATTTGGTTATTCTTGGGTTATATTCAAGAAATTCTTGAATTATTTGTGCTTGACACATTTAAGAGCAGAAGAGAAAGCCAAATGAAATGGGCTGTGAGAGCTTATTCATGTGTCCTTTGGAATTTTATGTTGTAGGAAAACTAAGCAGAATACTAAGAAGGCCATCTCAGAGGCTGCATGTAACTGTGTGCATTAGTGTGTATGTGCATGTGCATGTGCATACACATTAAAAAATGTGTGATTATTTTTTGTAACTTGATTGTGTGGTTCACAAGTATGAACTTCGTATGTATGCTCATGGAGCCACTAGTATACGTGCTGTTCTTCTTTGTCATTTGTATTAATCAGTATATCTAACAGGATGTTGATGCTTAACCTCACCAACTTAGCAATATTTTCATAAGCCCTCATTTGCTGAAAAGGCCAGGATATTGGTCTTTGGACTGAACTGACTGACTCCAGACACTCATATTGCTTATTTAACAATTAATATTGGCAAGTTTCTCCATTTTTTACAGAACTAATTTTTTCACTGTAAAATGTACATTAATTACTTATATTTGCACAAGGGTTATTAAGTGTTCTAAGATATTTATATTTCAGACCTATAATTTCTGAGTGGATGAAAGACTGATTGGTTTATACAAAATGCCTTTGTTAAATTCAACTTGCCTCTGCAGGTCATATCAGATCCTGTGACTATTTCTCATGCTGGTACAGCTTGAACCAGTTTCTGGCTCACTGCATTCACTTCCTTGTGCTGGTAATTTTTCTCTCATGGCTGAAATGCTCTGATTGCTGCTGCCTCACACCATTCTTGGCTACCTTCACACTTAGTGAGTGAGGTTATGATACAGAACTCAGGTCTACCATAGGCATCCAAGTTCCAGCAGGAAAAGAAAACAATGAATGTAGAAGAAAGAAATATGACCTCAGCAAGAGAAGGTAGAAACTTATTTTAACCATTTGATTTGCCTTCTCACAGGGCTTCTCCTAATGAGGAGTAACTGCATCAATAAGAATAAATGATCAGAGAAAACTCACAAGCAAGGAAAATATAGAAGAAAAGTCATGGGAAATA